TCTTTTAAAAATTTATTTTTAGTTTAGTCAAATCACAGAAAAATGACAACTGTTTCATATTTTAAAAAATTTATTGGTGCATTGTTGTAGACTTAATGTTTTTCTTGTACTTAAAATGTGTATTCTGTATTCTATATGCATTTCTAGATGTCTGAACTAGTTAAAGCTTGTAACTCATGCTTTGCTTTTTTTTCCCCCTTGATCTTTTAGATCTTAGTTAATAAAATCTTTTGCCTGCTGGATTTCTGTTTCTCCGTATGGAAATTTTAGCTATTCCTTTACGTGTGTCACACCTATATTTTTAGATTAATATATGTTCATGATTACTGTCTCTTTTTGGTACCAGTATGTGACATTTCTCATTGTCTCTTTTGATGTTTCACCTTTGAATTTTATTTTGTCTTGATGTGAAAATTTTGGTAGATATTCCCACATTGCCTTCCAAAAAAGTTGTACTCATTGCTTCACTTGGCTACACTGCATGAGACCCCTTGTTTCCTCACTCTTTCTAATGTGACTCAGTTCAAGGCCTACGCGTCCTAGCTTTCTGTCTTTGTTGGTAGCTTGGGAAACTAGACTTGATGCATAGCTCTGGCATTTTTGATCTCAATTTTACTCACTGCCTATCATATTCAATCACAATCTCCTAATTGGGTCACTCCAAATAGTGTTCTGACTGCATTAAAGGATGGTGCTTAGAAATTTTGGCTTAATTATCTATTAAATCACATTTTCTTCTTCCTGTTGGGGTTGCTCCTGGACTCAGTTTTCTCTGAGGACAGGGATGGCACAGCTTCTCGCACAGATGAGTTTTCTTTTAGAATCTGCTGTGAGCAAAGTGGAGACTGTTCCCTGCTGTAGTCACCCTGCAGCAGCTATGGGCTCGCAGATGGGCTGCTGTAGCCTTCTGCTTGCTGTAGATCTAGAGATCATGCAGCCCAAGCTTCCAAGAGGCAGAGGGCCAAATAGGTGAACAGTCAACTCTCTAATCCTGCTGCTGTGTTGCTGGTTCTGCTCATACACCCTGGTGCCTAAATTCATAGCATGAGTTGGGTATGTTGAGCTCCACTGACTCCCAATACTGGCCCTGGCTGGAATGATTCTTGAATTCTGCTACATGGCTGGTAAGCTGTCAGTGGAGTTTGCTGCTGCCCCTGAGGCCATGATGTGACATCTTTTTCAGAGTTTATCACTCAGGAAAGTAATACCCCATACCCCCTGTGCGGTTCTCCTTAACGTTCCTTTCAGCCTCTGTCCTTCTCTCACCCCCACATCCTGCATGTTCACTTTGTGCTTTCATAAATAACTAGGCTCCTGGAACAGCTTCTGTAGAAGCTTAAAGGTAGCATTCTTGCATCTGTAGAGTATTTTATATTCTTCAAAGCACTTCCATATACATATTATCATTTGATCTTCACAAAAAACTTTCAGGTATGTAGGTTAGGTATATTATCCTGATTTCATGGATGATGAAGTAGAGACAGTAATTAGGTTACTTGCCCATCCTCAGGCACTTTGTTAAAGTGGAATCAGTACTAAAACCCTGGTTTGTTTTGGTTGGTGATTTTATTCATTCATTCATTCATCCTCCCACTCGTATTATACTGAGAGGCCCCAGAATGGAAAGAGCAAAGTCTTTAGAGTCAGACAAACTTGGATTTAAAACTTGAAGCCATCCCTTATTAGCCTCATGATCTTGCTCATGTACTTAACCTCTCAGAAGATCAGTTTCCTCATTTGTAATATAGGGAAAAATTATGACATAATGCTTTTATGAAGCTCTAATAATGCATGAAAATTACTTGGTAATAATAGTGTCTGACAAACAGTAGGTTGAAGTTATAGGTCAAAAATGATCAAAAAGTCAGCAGTTTTATATGGTTCAACCTCATGGTAGATACTCAGTATTGGCTAACATTTACTAAGTCCTACCTTATTGTATAAGAGGCACTGTTAGGCCCCGAGAAGATAAATAGAAATGAAACCAGATACTCTTGATGTGTCTAAGTCTTCTGCTAGACTATGGTGCTGAAGGGTAGAGCCTGTGTCTCTTGCATCCTCAGCACCAAAAAGCAATGTCTGCCAGGTGGCAGGTGCTCAATAAATGCTCACTTGAAATGAAAAGGTCCCTGCTCACAAGGAGGTTACCAACTGTTTAAGGATGACAGATACATAATAGTATAATTATACTAAACTGTTACATGTATTCAGATAGACACAGACAGGCTGTGGTGAGAGCCCAGAGGAAGCAATGCTCAATTCTACTGGGGGAGGGGGAGGTGCGCTGGAGAGGAGGGGGCAAAACTTCACAGGGCAGGTGCATCAAGACTGGTCATGGTCTGTCTGAGGAAGGGAGCGAAAGCCCTTGGCTTGTCTTGGACGACATGCTTTCTCTCAACTACCCCCCTCCTAATGTTTGAAATTGAGTTTGCATTCAAAGCGACCTCTTTGTTTCACAATTCCTCTGTTCCTGGTATCTCCCATAATGTATTGCTTTATAAAATGCTTTGCTCTATCCTGAGTATAAAAGGGATGCTTGGTAAAACCAGATTCTATTCTGTGAGTGTCACAACTAGGCAATGCATAACAAAGTGTAATATATTGTGTGAGAAGAAATAGAGGAACACAAGAGGTATTTTAAAGAGAGCAAATAAAATATCAAAGTGGGAGAGTGTGCAGTGCATTAAAGTTAATAAACTGTCACAGCAGAATGGACCACTTTTAAATGTGAAGGAATCTAATTTAGTGACTTGTAACTGTGGGATTAGGATCCCACTGAAAGGAAGTTAGCCACTAGTTTTGTCAAATTCTAAATCTTAGGGTTCTCCTTGAGAGCCAGCTCTTAGAATTGAACAGATTATATATATATTTTTGTCCACAGCTCTTTCTGGTGCAAAACCCGTCTGTCTTCTTCTGAATATTCAGTGCTGCTCAACTCGCTATAACATTGCTTTTCTTTAAGCTCTGGGAGGAGGCACCGAGGACCCCTTTCACCTGCTGACTGGGTACAGCCCCATCAGCATGCGTTTCCAGGGCTGTGTTTCCACAGAGACACTGAGACCAAAAGACTGTCAGGAGTAAGCTTTGCTCAGGCGTGAACCACTGAGCCACTTGTCTTATTCGCAAAATAGAGACAAGGAGATCGATGCAGGTCTCCTCCTTGGCAGTGCTGAAGGATGACTGTAACAGCAAGAGTTTCCAAATGTTTTCTGCCAAGAACTGGATGGGATTTTGTGCTTCTTCAGCCACAAAATGTCCTCAGCATCTTACTCTCAAATCATTAATGCCCTTTTCAGTCAGTCTGCTCAACCTGAATACTCTCTTATCTTTCTTTGTCAATACTTTCATTATTAGTTTTTTCTTTTTATTAGCTAAACTCTCAAAGTTTGTAGGTCCATAATATTTTACCTTTTTTCAAACAAGCCGAAGATATTAAGTGGCATTTTCATTCTTTATTGCACTCTTTCTCTATAGAAGAATGAGAATCCCTCGTTCTGGTTCTGGGTGCAGTTTGTAGACTACTCCCTTGGAGTATCAGAATGCTGTGTTTGTGTTTGGGCACCCTGGTGTTAAAATGCCATTGACCCTGGGTGATTACATAATGTTTTGAGCTTCAGTTTCTCCATTTGAGAAATGGGAATAAAATATCTAATTTATAAGGTTCCTATGAGGACTCAAACAAATTGCATAGGAGGGAACACCTAGCACGATGCACAGCATGTAACAGATGCACGATAAATGATTATCTAATACGAATCAAAGCAACATAAGCAGGGCCCGACCAGTTCTATTAAAATAAGAGGAGCTCTTAGAGAATGATAAAAAATGTAGAGAAATGGCCAAGGCTTGCATTCTATAGAGCACTGTGTCCTTAGTCTGGTGCATAGTGTCAGATTTAGGGGCTTATATGGAAATAAAAAGGTGGGAGTTCTTTGTGGGTAAAAGGCGTTAAGTCATATGCAAATATGGAGTTGGTTATTTCAGGGAAGTCACTGCTATAGGATGTCATCAGAAAAAAAAATGGAAAAATTTTCAAAGGTGGTTGTAACATTAGTGCAGCTATTAATTGTATTTGTCTAAATTACCATATTTTGATGCATAAACTGATCAGAATAATGCTGCTCCTTGTAATAACTGATGATATAAGAAGCAGCGTGGTGTAATGCAATGGAATACAAATTGAAATACAGTAGTCAGAAGATTTAGGTTCAGGTTTGTTTCACTTAATCTGTTCATGGCCTTGGACAGATCACTTAGCCTCTTTGAGCCTTGGTTTCAACATCTATTAAATGGGGATAATAATATTTCTCTTATTTTTCCCCCCTGGATTATTGCAGGGATCAATTGATACAATGTTTTTAAAAACACTGCCCTTGTATTGACTGTTCTTGTGATTTAATATTAAGGGCCCGATACTAAGGGGATTGCTGAAAAACTTTCTGTTGTCATCTTTGGGGCAAACATGAGGTGAGGGCCGCAACAATGTGGGGCATGTGTATCCGTAGCTCCCTGTTCCCAGCTTATCTGGGCCATGTTTCATTGCTAGCCCCCGGTGAGCCCATTCTGCAGCTCACTTTGCCTGGCCCCTGTGGTCCCCTTTGCTCAAGAGCAATTCAAGGGTGGGTGGTAACAGGAGTGTCAGAGGTTCCGCAGCAACACCAAGATCCCCTCCAGCAGACTTCCACATGTGCATATTGGTGCGACTGCCTGGGCCACTTGCATCCTCTTCCTCATTTGTGTCTGCCTGTTTGCTGCTGATGGCTATAGCAATGGCATCTTGTCTTGCTCAAAGATTTCTGAGGCTTTTGAAAGTTTCTTTTTCCCTCATTCTGCTGAGCAAACACCAGAGATGAGACTAGGCTAAAAGACAGAAGTTGGGTTTTATGATCGGGAAAAGGAGATAAGGTCCTTGACTTGCAGTATCCAGCCTCCTCAAAGACAGGTTATGTATGCAGGTCAGATTTTAACCATTCTCTCTCTTTCTCTCTGTTTTCAGGGAGTCGACGAGTTGAAGATGAAGCCCAGAGCAGAGTGGTGTTCTCCCAAGTTCTGGCTGGTGTTGGCTGTCCTGGCGGTGTCCGGCAGCAGAGCTCGCTCTCAGAAGAGCCCCCCCAGCATTGGCATTGCCGTCATCCTCGTGGGCACCTCAGACGAAGTGGCCATCAAGGATGCCCACGAGAAAGATGATTTCCACCATCTCTCCGTGGTGCCCCGTGTGGAGCTGGTGGCCATGAACGAGACCGACCCAAAGAGTATCATCACCCGCATCTGTGATCTCATGTCTGACCGGAAGGTCCAGGGCGTGGTGTTTGCTGATGACACGGACCAGGAAGCCATCGCCCAGATCCTCGATTTCATTTCAGCCCAGACTCTCACCCCGATCCTGGGCATCCACGGGGGCTCCTCTATGATAATGGCAGATAAGGTAAAAGGGGGTGTGGCCAGAAGAGCCCGGGGGGTTGCATTGAGGACTAAACATGCATTTGTTTTCATGCAAAACGTGGTTATTGAGGGTGGAAGGTAACCAGAAAGCACTGACTGTGTGGATCGACCAGGAGTTAGTCTAATTGTTTGGAGATAAAAGTGAGGGAAAGATGCTGGGATCTAGAAGCTGCTATAGTTTTGAACAGGTTTGTGTGTCCATTTGTTTATAAACTGACTCACTGGAATGACTGAGACAGGTTGACACTTGTAGCCCTGCGATGCATTTTCCTCAAAGAGGTGTATGAATAGTTCCTTCAAAACTTTATCAAGGACTTTTTTATTTTTGACAGTTTTTTTTATTGAAAGAAAAATAAGGCATATTTTATTCTTCTTTATATGTATTCCCCATACTGATTTCAGGAATATAAAAAGAAAAATCGCTGAGGCAGGTAATTTCTCTTCTTGAAGATACAGATGTCATAGGGGAGTCATTCTTGCTAAGGATTATTGTGATGATCCTTGCTCATCACACACATCGATCTGCACATTGGAATGGATTTTAATCCATGGAACCAGTAGTAACTGCGTTTTCCCCGTGCTTAGATTGGAAGGCCGTGGTTCGTAACTTCGGCTGCACATTGGAATCTGAAGAGCTTCCAGCACTGCTACTAAATGTTTCCAGATTCCTTGTTCCTGCCATGTTACAGACCCCTTTCCTGATTTACCAGAACCATCAATAAACACAGTTAGTGCTTGAGGAAGAAGAACAGGGGATAAGCAGGATTTTAATTGTATGGGTAATAATTGGAGTCTTGTAAGATTTCATCATGTGGCTATGAGAATTGTAGCTTACCAACAAAACCAGCCATAGCTGTCTGTAAGGACTCTGATTGCTCAAGGGCAGTGTAGAAGTCAGTTTTATAAAGACCAGGGTTGATAGTATCAGGATCATATCCAGTAAGCATTTGACAACGGTGCCTTCCCCTAGTGAGTAAATGAATGCGCTGTTCTAATTTAGTATATAGTTTGTTTTTTTGTTGATGGAGTAAGAAAATCCATTCAATGACTCCTATTTGAGGAATAAATTGACAAAGTAAACCTGTAGGACTATGTGGGGTATTTAAAAACAATGAAATGAATGACTTGAGATTTAACAATACATGTTAATTGTCTGGAGTGTAAAAAGGATTCAATTTGTTTTAATTCTAATTTTGCTTGTTCAGACAAATAACGCGGGGAGGACAAATCAGGGTCTCCCTTTAAGGTATTAAATAAATGTTGTAATTGATAAGTAGGAATACCCATGGAAGGGCGGAGCCAATTAATTTGGCCAAGTAATTTTTGTAAATCATTGAGAGTAAGGGGCTCCTGAATATGGAAAGATATATTTTGTGGCCATGTGTTTCTCTGAGTGATCAGAAAACCAAGGTATTTCCAAGGCTCCATTTTTTGAATTTTATCTGGAGCTATTTGTAAACCGGCATTATTAACTTGTTTGATTAAATGTAAATAGACTTGTGATAACAGGTCTGGATCATCATGAGCAATAAGAACATCATCCATATAATGATAAATAAGAGCAGCTGGAAATTTTTCACGAGTGGGTCGAATAGCTCGGTCCACCAAGTCCTGACAAATAGTAGGGCTATTAGTCACCCCTTGAGGGAGAACTTTCCATCGATATCTTTGAGCAGGCCTTCTGCATTGATGCTAGGAAGGAGAAGGCAAACTTTTCTTTGTCCTCCTGGTGCAAAGGTATGGTAAAAAAGCAATCTTTTAGGTCTATGATGATTAAATGATAATTGTGAGGAATGAGGGCTGGGTTTGGGAGCCCAGGCTGTAGGGCCCCCATGGGAAGAATGCGGGCATTAATTTTTCTTAAATTACTGCCTGGGTCCAACCCCCAGAGATTCTGGTCATTGGCCTGGGTGGGCTTCAGGATTCTTAAAAGCTCTTCAGGTGATTCTAACGTGCAGGTAAGGCTGAGAGCCACCACTTCAAAGGCTCAAATCCTAGCCTCTCCCGCATTAATATTAGATCAATTGTCATATGACAGACTAATTACCATCTAATATTGGTATTTATTCTCTAAATGCAGAAAAAGTGTTTTGTTTTTGGTTATATTTTAGTTTTACATTTTTCAGTTATTCAGTTATTTTTCCTCGCCTTATTGATTATTGTCCGTCGCTTAGGTACAGCCCTTCTCACGTATGTACTGTCCTTCACAGTCATGCATATCTGAGAAGGATTCATTTCACTACAAGTGCAACGTTTATTATTTTTTATCACTTTGAATTTTTTAAATTGTCTCTACCTTTGCATTGTCAACCTATACTTCTTATCATTAGTTTCAAAACTGCCTCTAATTTTGTACTTAGAAGACATGCTGTGGGGTTAATGATGTTTGTAAACACGGGGAAACCTAGCACAGACACCACAAGCATGCTTTACCTGACCAGGTGAAAGCCACCACAGTGCAGCAGCTTAGACAAGACGGAAACTGCTTTGTGTGACCACGATCGCCATCTGTCGGCAGCAGGCAGAGCTGACTAGCTTCTGTTTCAGAGCTTCCCTTTACTCAGCTGAGGAGAGGCCAAGTCGAAGGTATTAAGTGGAGAAACTTTGGTATCATATGAGAAGAATATTCTTCCACTCCCATGGGCACAGGTACAGATGTTAGGAAACAAGGGCTGACGCGAGTAGCCCGTGCTGAGGGAGCAGGGACAAAGTTAAGCAAAATGGAAAACCCAGCGAGTTTTGCTTCAGGTAGATTTTCTTATCATGTCCTTAGCAAATTATATTTTATTTTAGCAGTGGCATTTTGAGGGCACAATATTGCATGGAAAGAGTCCTTATATGGAAAAGAGCCAAATTTTAAAATCATAAATAAGTGCATACTTCTTTTGAGAGCATAGCAGGTAAAAAGTATTTTTTTTTCTCATGTGGGCTACCGTACAACCTATGTTATTTCCCCCCCATAGAAAAGGTTATGCCTAAACCGGTTGGTTGCTTCTCTCTGGTACCTCTTACAAATCCACAACATCAGTATAAAAAATATGAGGTAAGAGGCAGACCATGTGGAGAGACGTTTTTGTTCACTGGTATATCTAGGTGTTTTGAGAGTGTTTGCCATGTGTTAACACTTAGTGTTTTGCGTGTATTATCTTATATAATACTCTTAATTACCCAATAAACTAAGTGATATTGGTTAATCTCTACCTTACAGATGGGGAAAGTGAGGCTCAGAGAGGTTAAATAACATATGCGAAGTGATGTAGCTAGTAAGTGAGAGCCAGGACTTTAACACTGGTTGCTGGCTCCAAAGGCCGTGTGCACTATTGCCTCTTAAGAAAGTGCAGAGGCTGGTTAAGGTCTCACATGCCTTCCTACCCTTTACTTTCTCATCTGTTACATAGCATTGTGGGGAATGTCATCTGACTGAAAAGTGATCCATCACTTGATTCATAATCAGGCAATACTGCAATCTAATTATAGGAGAACATTAACAAGGATATGAAATGGTGTAGCACGCAGGAGGAGCACGATTCCATAGAGGCCTCATGGGCCACTGGGATAAAGGGAGAACTGAAGCCAGAAAGGTGGATTCTTCCAGGTGACTGTAATGAAATCCCTTCTTGGCACTTCCCCCTTACGCCTCCCCCCATTGCTACCACACCCAGATATTACATCTTATCTTCTCTCTCCATTAAAAAAAAAGGTGGGCAATGATTTTTAGACAGTTTCCTTAAATAGGCTAAATGATATCTAACTGGCTTTTCACTTGAAAAGAAGAGTTTCTAAAAGAGGCAGCAAGAGGAATAAAGAAGAAAGAAGCAGGTCCTAATATCTGGAAAGTTGGAGGCTTAGTCACAGAGGGTTGGATGCCTGCATGGGGGGCTGCAGAGGAGGACGTAGCAGGAACCACAGTGACTGAGGGGGCAGCGCCAAGCTTCCCAGGAGCCGAGCAGAGGAATGTTCATGGGCTTAAAGGATTTGCATGAAGGCAAATAAGGAGCACCTCAGATCTCAGAGAAATAAGCCTTTGGGGCAAGTTCCAAAAGTAAAACACCTCAAAACCTATGGCCAGGTTTGTTTATTTTTTAAATAGAAGTTTATTTTTAAGCACCATGACCAAATTTTACAAACAGAATGGGGGCACATAGTTAGCCAACTCTGAATTGACTATGGGGCAATAGGGGCAAAACATTTGAAAGTGCAGCTGATGCAGAAAACCTAAGACACATAGCTGGGCCGTGTTCAAGTCTCATAGGAACCAGGCAAAGGATGATAAATAAGCCTTCCATCCAGCTCTGCCCCTCTAGGAGACAGGTAATCTCCACTCTGTTTTAACTTAGTTTTGTTGTTGTTAGTTTGATTCAAATAAAACCCACGTATTAAGTGGTCTTGTGAAAGATTGCATTACAGGGATAAAGTCGCTGTGTTCAAGGAGGTTTTGATGTAGGGAGACAGCGCTGTTCTAAAGACTTTAGATGAAAGTAGAGATGCAGTTCAGCACTTCAGCATCTGGTCTGATAGAATGTATGCATTCTTGGGTATGCCAGTTAGTCAGTAAAAAAATTAATCAGTGCTCTGCTTTCCCAAGAAGGAAATGCACTTTATACTATGACAGAATGAAGTGTGGGAGCTGGAAGAGTAGAGGGGTTAGAAGCTCAGAATTTAAGAGTCAAAGCTTGACGTGGGAATCTGGACTAGTCACCAATGCCTTCCTCTCAACCTTGGTTTTCTTGCCTGTATAATAGGGATAAAAATATATCCATCATAGGGTTGTTGAGGATTAAATGAGATAATGTGTAGTAAATGCTTCTGTTGCATGGAGCAGTTAGAAGACAGTGAGGTGGTTGCATGATACAGGAAAAGATGGGAATTAAATAGCACCACGAACAATGTAGAGACGATTCTAAATTGAAGACCAGCCAAGAAGGCAGTTGAGGTGAAAAAGGGCTCTGAGCCATGTGGTGGGCGTCTTGATCTTGCCCCACTAGGGAAACTGAGGCCCATCAATGGTATGGAAATCTGTCGTAGCCAAAAAGGACATGTTTGGTTAAGGAAAAACTCTAACAAGGAAAAAATTGCTAAGTGCTTGTAACAGAAGACTG